GTGGGCTTTGCTTTATGGTGTATGGCTTGTAGCGTGGTAGAAAAATAAGCCCCATCATTGGTGGCAGTGATTCTAACCCCCAGCATTGGTGTAAGTGGCCACAATAATGTCTCCTTCATTGGTGAGCAGTGGAAGTATTGTAATAATAACCTCCTCCAGCAATGGTGGTCAGTGGCAGACTGTAGTAATAATCCCCAGCATTGGTGGTCGGTGACAGGCTGTAATCATAACCCCCCAGCATTGGTGGTCATTAGCAGGCTGTAATAAGAACTTCCCAGCATTGGTTGCCTGTGCCAGGCTTTAATAATAACCCCCCAGCATTGGTGGTCAGTGGCAGACTGTAGTAATAATCCCCAGCATTGGTGGTCAGTGGCAGGCTGTAATAATAACCCCAGCTCTCTCCATGGTCTTTGGAAAGTGGCAGTCTCGAGTTGCAATAGACCCCCCCAACATTGGTGTTCAGTTTATTAAATTTTCTGATCACATACTCTGCGCTTCTACTTCTATCCCAGTTGTCCAGGACTATACTTCCACTGTCGGACAGAGATCACCCCTACAGACATTTCCAACTTCTTTCAATGCCAGGCGCTGGAACCCAGAGAGCGTTTCATCACCCGGCACACCACTGCCACTTTGCAAGTTGCCGAGGGCACACCAGGGCACCCTTTAGGCCCTTGGTTCTCAACTGGTGTGTCGTGACCCAAAAGTGGGTCGCGGCCCTGTGTTCAGTGGGTCACTGCATGCCTTCCACTTTTCTAGGTGAGTGGCTAATCAGCCTCCCCCTAGCCCAGCACTTTCAGTTCTCACGCCAAGCAGCCATTCAAAATATGTTGTCCGGCGCCAAGGGTCAGAGATGGGGCTATGGCTGCGAGGGAGCTCCATCCATCCAATGTGAATTTTTTACAACTCACTCACGTGTCCTCTAGAGGTGCCTGGACCGGAGTGACATCACATTCTGGCTCCCGGCACCTCTCCAGAGCTGTATAAGCAATGCAAATATGGATGGAGCTCCGTCACAGCACAGCAGCCTGCACTGGACCCCAGGCTGAGAATCCACTCCAGTTCTCGTAAGATAGAGATACTGGGTGCAGCTTGAAAAAAAGAAAAAAATAATAATTTTCGTGTGTGAAATTGTGGTTGTGTGTCTGTCAGTGTTTTTGAGGGCCCGTTCACACTAGTACAGTGCGTTATTCGCACAGTGTCATGCGATTAACGCACTGTACCACGCAAAATCTCACCTACTGCGAATTCTGGTGTGGGAGGTATTGCATTGCAATTCATTTGAATGGCACCCCAAACGCACCACCAACCTACAGTTAGATTTTCCCCACCGTAACGTGCTGTACCGCAATGCTGTGCGTTCCTGTGCAGTGCGACTTGGGTCATGACCAAGGTCAAATGTAGGTCCTGAGGTTACACAGGTTGAGAACCACTGCTGTAGGCGGTGGTACCTGTTGTGCACTCCGCTGAATAATACCACTGCCTGTAGTAATGTGTGGTTGGCTGGAGGCACCACCAATAGCAGTAGTGGGACCAGCAGAATTACACTTCAGGAAGTATTGGTTTCTGAAAAAGCTTCAGTCAGCTATTTCTCTTCATCCTCATTGGATGGTGCAGGAGAGGTGAGTATTTGCAATCTTCTCTCTTTAAATGTATGTCAAAACAGAGGTAACCCCACTGGTTTCCACAGTGCAGAAACCAGGGTAACCTATGTACCTAATTATGGTCAGCAGAAGAGTGTTAAGCATAGTTATCACCTTGTTGCTAGCAAGCACAGCGTCCACTTCCACAACATTCACAAGCACTGAGGAGAATTCACAGACTGGTGCTAAGAATCTAGTTTTCCAGCTCAGCCTTTTGGTTGGAGCTTTTCAGACAATTCAGGAGGAAGAATTAAACCCTATCACATTAAACATTTATTTCCTGGCATAGCTGTATATAAATAAGGCAAAGTAACACTTGTACAGATGAACAGCTGTGTGCTCTTTTTACCATCCGACAAATTGTATATAGAAAAATGTATATTCAACACGTATTTAGACACCATATTTCAAAAAATAACTATATTGCAGCCTACCAGTCCTTAGATGTGGTGGCCACATTCGTTTTCATTTTTCAGGGTAAAAACATTTTCAGCAAATACAAAAAAATGCCTTTTGATGTTACCAGAGATACAGTGTCCTTGTCACTTGCTGTGAGATTAAACCTTCATCTTTCTCCTGTAATCTACTAGTCCCATCAGTCCACCATGTAATGGAGAGTAACAAAGGCACGTATGTTTAGAAGTTCAGACTGGGTGGCAACCATGACTACTGTCATTGGTGCAGTGGGAAAAAAACAAACAAACGTATAGAGACATAGGGGACAGGAAGCGTATTATTCCAGAATTACCAGGAAATAAGAACATTAATGCAGCCACCACATCTAAGAACTGGTAAGCTGCAATATATTATATTTTTGTTTTTGGATATCCTTTAAAGTGTATGTAAACCCTATCAATTAATAATGTTTTGCTTTTAGGCCTGGACCACACCTAGGCATTTTTGAACAGTACAAAAAGCGCTTTTAAACGCCCGACACAAGAAATCCCATAATTTTCAATTCATGCTGAAACCACGCATACAAACGCACAAAATCCATGCCGCCTTGGTGTGAACCAGGCCTTAGGGCTTGTTCACACCAATTACAGTGCGTTCCACTGTTAGCTGCTGGAATGTGATGTATCACATACTAAACTCCCCCCTTCGTTTCGGTCCAGTGTGATCGCAAAAAATAGTGTATGCAAATTTTTTTTGGCAATCGCACTGGACTGGAACGCAGGCCAGTTGTGACATACATTCTGGTTGTGCCATACTGTTGTGGTTGTGCCACACTGTTGTGCCATACATTCTGGTGCACGGCGATCGCACTGTGGGCGGGGTGCCTTGAATGCACCGCCCCCTCCCGCCTCAGAATGCAGCGGGAGTTTAGTAGGCGATACACTGCGTTCCTGCAGCTAACCGCACTGGACGGCACTGTAATTGGTGTGAATAAGCTCTAAGTCTGCAAAATATACCACTGAAAGTGTTTTGTTATACCTGTTTGATAAGTGCAAAACATACCCTGAACAAATTTGCCAAACATCTTATCAAGTGATAAATTCCTGTGCTTATGGAGATGAGGAACGGACAGGAGATGAGGAGAGGTCTGTGTGTAATTCATCAGAAATTAAGTAGACAGGGCTGACACCACATGCTTAGGAATTCAGAACTGTGTTCTCAAGTGAAACAGGAAGGTAGGAGCACACTAGATTTCCTGCATATCAACAGTTCTTTTTCTGCACTTGCAACATCTTTAAAGAGAGAACACATTGGGAAATGTGCATGTGTTCCACAAATGTACTAAATATTGATTTATTTTGTTTTGCCTTGACATATGCTTTAAGGATACCATTATAAATGAATGCAAAATATCTATATACTTCTGTGTGTGTTTGTATATATGTGTGTATATATGTGTGTATATAGACGTGTGTGTGTGTGTGTGTGTGTGTGTGTGTGTATAAACTCTTCGCCCTTTTGTGAATATACCCCCCAGACTGTCTGCTCCCCAGGCTCCAGAGCACTGGCTGTTTGCCTCACCTGCACTAAACTGCCATTGAGGAAATGTGTAAAATGTGGGGCTTACTAGAGGTTCCGGAAGGTGTAAGGGCTTGTTCACACAAAATCCGGACCACATCTGCATGAGTTTCTGCACATGCAGTGCAGTGTGTTTTGCTGCGTTTACGCCACTTTCCGGGCCGTTTCTAAAAAAAATATAATTTTTTTTATTTTTTAGCCTTAAAATATGCATTTGCATATGTTTTAGTGCGTTCCAGAGCAGAAAAAATAGTGCATGCTGCAGTTTTTCCATATGCTCTGGAGCTGAACGCTGTGGTGTGAACTAGAGCCCAAAATACCATTGGAATACATTGGATGCATTTTTGATGCGCTCTGTAACTGCTCTGCACTGCATCTGCTCCGCACTTTGTATGAACAAACCCTAAGAGAGGTATCTGGGCGACGCATAAACCCCCGGACAGGACCTGCTACACTGTATACAGAGTTTGCACAGGAGTCATCAATGGCATAGTTCTCTTTTAAGCACTTCATCCTGAGGCAGTCTCCACTTTAATCTGACTCAGTAAAGTCTTCTATCTTCAAGGAGGAAAAGCTGATAAAATGACACATACTGGATAATAGGAGATGTCAACCTGTCTGCCTAAAGTAAAGAATGATATGTTCTTTTAAATTTCACCTATCTTAAAGGAGAAAATATTTAGGCCACTAGTATTCGTCACTGTACAGGTTTCCTTCACATTAAATGTGCAAAGTGACACAAATTATCATAAAATAATAGGTTCCTAAGGTTGCAGATGGCATCTTCATGTATGCTACTACCCCCTTTGTACTGCACAAGTCTGACAGAAGTTCTTTTGAGAACATCAGCTTTCTAAAAGTTGGTGATGCATAGACTTTGGCATCCTACCACCAGACCATCCTAAGAACACTTGCTTCTACCGTAATAATGAGTCGCTCAGGCTTTCAGCTTGGTCTGTGGGGGGGCATGTTTACTCACCACATGCCCCAAACTTGTTTTGTTTTTTAGATGCTCCAGCAGTTATGGGAAGTGGGTGATGATGACCCTTTGAAACCAAATCTAAAACCCCTTGAACCACATTTCCTGTCCCTATGGCCAAATCAACTTCCTCTTCGGCCTCAAGTCACTTTATATTGCTACAATTGCCCTCACCTCTAGACCCGTATAGCAGCCTACTGCTGCCCTAGCCACTTTTAATTCTCAGTACAGTTACAACAGCCCCCTTCAACCCTAGCCACATTGACTATCATTCCACATCTGACCGCACAATGTACTGCTCAGCAAGGAGCAGAGCTTTATTAATGAAATTGCCCATTAAGTGTAATCAGATTGTAAAAGATAACATTCTTTCATTGAATATTGTTTTTACATCAAGCCATCATATCATTTCATATGTTTAAAAAATAATAATATTTTAGCGTTTCCCGATTGTACTATTATACAGACGAATACACTAGTGTATTGGGTCTTTCTACCGCCATTGTAAATGTCACCAAGAATAGCATTGGCAGGCCATTAAGATAGTTCATTAATTGTAAAGTGGACTGTAAACAAGCACATAGTTGTTATAATTGAAGTTCCTATTAACCACTTGTGAGGAGGGGTGGGACTCATCCTGCCTCTTACAGCCAAGTTTCACTTTGTTGCTCCGTAGACATATTTTTCCCAGATATGTGGTACTTTGGGACTTCATTTTATAATTCCCATATGTTTACTGGCAAGTTTTTTTTTGTTTGTTTGGTTTTTTTTTAGAACAAAACACTGCTTCTCGTGCAGCCAGAAAATCATTTTCTGAAAAAAGCCTGTTGAGGATAGAAATATGTGAGCAGCCATAGCTTGCTTGTTTTTCAAAAGCAGACTCCAAGACCATCCTAATCCTTTATTAAGTATAGTAGGGAGAGAGAAGACTGCCAAATATATGGTTAACTGTTCACCATATGTTTGGCATGCTACTGTCTTCTATACTGTACTGTTTTCAGGACTTCTTTTCAGGCCGAAATCCTAGAGCACTGTCTCTGATCAACATAACATTAGCAAGCAAAAGTCCAAAATCAGAATCCCTTTTTGGACTAGGTATTGACGTTCCACCAACATACAGTATATCTCCTCTTAACGTCCTCTTAATACTCCTAATTCTGGCTTCCCTACAGGTATGGGCATGTCGGGTGCCCCAACCTTCTACTGGCTGCATTTTTGTTTCAGGGCAGTGACCGCTTGGGTAAAAAAGCCAAGATCACTGCGGTGGAGCTTGCAACTTCAGAAACAAGTCAGCTATGGCAACTCTGTCATTTGTATCCTACAAGACTCTCTTTAGAAAAAAAGGTTTACCTCTTCATGACAATTTTAACACTGGGTGGTGGTTACATAGTTACATAGTTACATAGTATTTGAGGTTGAATAAAGACATTAGTCCATCAAGTCCAACCTATAGGATCTCATTCTAGGAGTACCTGTACGCCTGTATATTACCTGTACCCCTGTATATTACGGTCCCTTAAGAAATCGTCCAAAAGTTTCTTGAACAATTCCACATTATTTGCTGAAATCACTGTCTGTGGCAGTGAGTTCCAGACCCTAACTGATCTTACTGTGAAGAACCCCCTTTGCCCCTTGTGCTGGAATTTTTTCCCCACCAATTTTAGGTGGTGGCCTCTAGTTTTTGTAATGGAGTTAATTTTAAACAGTTTATCGCTAATGTTGCTACCACCATTGAACATGGAAATCATATCCCCCCTTAATCTCCTCACCTCCAATGTGAACATGTTTAAATTTAATGGCCTTGTCTCGTAGCTCTGGTCCTCCATACCCCTAATTAGTTTGGTTGCCCTCCGCTGGACTTTTTCCAACTCAAGGACATCTTTTCTTAGTACTGGTGACCAGAACTGGACCGCGTACTCCCAGATGAGGTCGAACCAATGATCTATAAAGTGGCAACATTATAGACTTGTCCCTGCAATACATCCCCTTTTTAATACAGGACAAAACCCTGCTAGCTTTGTTTACAGCAGCCTGGCACTGCAAGCTACCTTTCAGTTTGTGGTCTACAATGACCCCCAAAATCCTTCTCCATTTCTGACATCCCCAGCGGCATACCCATAATTGTATAATATTCTATTATGGTGATATAATAGAATATTTTTAGATGAGATCATTTTTAATTAGGATGTCACTGAAAGGAAATATGCACCTTTTGCAGTGATATCGTATGAAAAGTACCATATTTTTCGCTCCATAAGACACACTTTTTTCCCCCCCAAAAGGCGGGCACAAATGTCTGTGCGTCTTATGGAGCGAATATTCCCCCCAGGTCTCGACAATCTCCTGCGCCAGCAGCCCTGCCGCCTCAGCTGTCACACACACACCACACTCCTCCAGCGGCGCCCGATGATGTGTGTGTGTGTGTGTGAGCTGAGTCAGGGGGGCTGACAGTGTACCAGCGTTATTTACCTCTTCCATAATGCCGCTGCCCGTGCTGCCGTTGTCTAACTTCTGTGTCTGACCGGCTTCTCACCTTACAGTGTCATGCCACATGACAGGGAAAAGGAGGAGTCTCAGTATGCAGAAGTTAGACACAGACAACATGTGCAGCGGCATTGGGGAAGAGGTAAATAACACTTGTACACTGTCAGCCCCGCCGCCTCAGCTCTCACACATCTCCCACTCATACCATGGTCAGGTGCGTCTTATTGAGCGAAACATATATTTGATCAAATAAAAAATGGATTATAGTTAAAAGAATTGTAATGTTGCTGAATAGGGTTTGCAAATTAGCTCCAACTGCATCATTTATCCTAATATAGGTGAAATGTAAATTTAGGCTTAGACGCAGCTTAACAATCTGTCCCACATGTGACAAAGGACCCCCCCACAAGTTCTCATAATTAATATTACCTACCACACACACAGATATCATGCAAGCGCTAACACGCATTTAAAGGAGAACATTTGAGGGGAGTGCTTTTCACTCACCTCATATTTCTAGCCGACCTGTGACAATGAGACTGTCGGGCTTAGTAGATCGGGAGGTGAGCGAACACATACCGGCGTTCGCTCACCTCTGTATCCTGTCACGGCTCTCTGCCGTGACAGGGGAGGGGCTGGATTCCCCCCTCCCCGCTCCGATCCGCCAGCGCTGACTGGCGGAACGGGTGGGGGAGGGGCGGGTACAGCTGGCTCTCCCTCTAGATAGGCAGAGCCTGCTGTCAGTCACGCAGCTGGGCGAATCTAGACATAATTGTTGGGATCCGATTCAGCTGCGGCGTCTCAGTATACCGCGAGCTACAGATACTGAGCCTAGGGTGACGGGAGGACGCTAGTTTGTGTCCTCCCGTTACCCTAAGGAGAACTATGGGGAAAGCCTTAACCCCATAGTTCTCCTTTAAGCAGGACAGCTTCTTTTCATTGAT